AGAAACCCTTTCCTGATTGTGAGTTTTCCAGGTGAATTGAATTGAAAAAAGGGTTTCATCAGAAGTAGCCATGGTTACTTCTTTCCAATTTGACTTTGATTTCATAGAAAATCACGTCCTGTTTTTGATGCAAAACACCTTTCATCTGGCAGTTAATTCCTCATGATTCCTACCACATTGTCCATAAAGCTAATGCAGATTTCACCACAGGCTTGGGCACATATGTGTCCCAAAATGCACTACCCCTACATAACCAGCAGGAAAATCCCTTGCGTCAAGCCTGGACTAAGAAATAAGACAATTTCTAGGTCAAAGTAAGGTTTTATAAACAGCTAACCTACTTATACATGGTTTTCTACATAGATCCATATTATAAAGGACCCTGGATTACAATCAGTTATGTAGTTTGTATAGTTTGCATTATTGCTTTGTAAAAGTCATCAGTGTATGGCAACTATAGTATAGTTCACATAAGATTGTGCTTATGACAAAAAAAACTATGGTCAAGGTATGATTAGTGGAAGCAACTAATTCATATGTAGGACAGATTGTGTTGTGGTTAGTAAAAAGCTAACATTAATTTGAGCTCTGTGACAGGTAACGACCTCTAGAGAGTTTGACATGCTACAAGCCTATCTACCACCAGTGTGACACCCTTACTTTCACCTCGTAATATAAATGTAATCATCAAATAATACCTACTGATACTGGGCTGTGCCTCTAAATGAGGAGGAAACAAATTCAGACCTGAATACACATTGTATATATATGTCATGAACAAGGCTGGATTACCAACTAGGCGCTAGGGAATTTGCAACACTAAAGTATAATATCAGCTAAAATGGGTCCTCCTACAGTAGTAATGTGCCACTCATTGTATGTCATGTCAAAATGTTTTAAGATGTTCATTATTTTAATTTGCACTGAAAAAGATTAACACAAGTACTTGAATATTGATTATGATAAAAAATTCTGGGGGGCAATTTATTGTGGTGGTGTGTTGGTGTTTGTAATGGTATGTTTAGTGGTAATTTTATTAAGTTGACCCAACAATTCTCTTTTATTTCAGTCTATTTTGTGCACAATAGGGACCCAGCTGCAGATTTTTGCCTTGGGTTACAGGTTAATCGTGTCCTGGTCATGGCCCTTTGTTTAAAAACCCACAGGCCTACACAGGGCCAAAGCATGACACCAATGTTCTGCGTTCTTCTCTTCATGAGTTGGAAAGCAGTGTCAGTAGGGGTACTTACTTCTTCAGTCATGCCTATATTGGGTTAATAATATCCTTTTAAAAGTAGCACTTGGTTCCTCTGATTACCACAATTCCCTCTGTTCACCAAATATGTGTTAAATGTATTAAAATACTTCGAAATCCACACAAGCACAATTTCTTAAATTTGTTTTAAATAAAAAGAGCAGGTCATATAAGCCAGGCATGGTCTAACTATTACTGCAGATTATTACTGGCTACTGCTCCTTACTGCAGGGTACAGGCAAAAAAAAGCAGCTGGACTGGGCTCAGTATTTTGCCCATTGACCCTGTATCTGGAGGCAATGACACTGCAGTCCTCCATCAATCAGGATGACATTAGTACTGCTACTGCCAGTTGGCCATGGGTGGACAAAAAAAACTCTGTTAGGAAAGGCTGAAAAGAACACAAAATCTCCAGCAGAAAGGAGTTATTTTACAGCCATTTGTTTCTGATCTTGTGGCATGGCCTGTAGTTGGTGGGTTCTGGTGTTCCTCAGCGACACCTTGGAGAAGCATAATTAGTAATGATGTTTTAGCAGAGGCCACCTCCTTTCAGTCTTGGGGATTTAATACTGTGAGGGTTGAGAGCAGTGGTGTTCTATATCTTTTATACAGCTACATTATAGTGAAGGAGACTTCCAAGGTTCACATGCTGACATCAGAACACTCAGTTAATCTAACATAGCCCTTCAAAACCTGAGATATACTCTCTGATGTTGGATGCCACTGCCCCTTGAAAACAGCTTTCTTTCCTTATCACAATTTTCTTCTGCACGTCTCTCGATCTGTTTTTAGGATGGTGGCTGGCAAGGCAGAGCCAGCAATGCCAGGAAGGCTCTATGTGCACCCTGATTCCCCCGCCACAGGAGCTCACTGGATGAGGCAACTGGTGTCATTTCAGAAGCTCAAGCTAACAAACAATCACCTGGACCCTTTTGGGCATGTGAGTACCTGCATATTAATAGTTCAAGACCTATTCGAAAAAATAATATTATTGTTTTCATTATCAATCATATTTTTTATTTTGCCACCATTCCAATAGTTAATAATAACATTTTACTCATCAGATGAATTGCTCAAACTTGAGAACATGGCAACAGTTCTAAACACAGCTGTACAATAGTGTCAGTTAGAAATCAGTAATTTAAATAATATGGTTATGTTGTTGCCATGTACCCAGACTGAAGTGATTAAATTGGTGAGTAAAATGTTAACCAACTGGAATTATTGATTCAAACAAAATGCTAAATCCCTGATATATCCTTCCAATATATCTGGTGCCAGACTAGGAATCATGGACAAAACTACTAAAAGAAACACCCAAAAAGTCATATCCAAGTCCAGTGGTCAGGAAATCACCATTGTAATTAGTATTTATCCTCTGTATAGAATTAATGTCTGTACCAAAGTTTGTGCCAGTCCATCCTGTAGATATAGAGATATTTTACTAGGTAAGTGAAATGCTTCATCTGCTGGTGGAACTACATCAAAAGTCAGGGGATCACAGAAGTCATCAGGATTTATCCTCTGGGCATGATGGATATCTGCACCAAATCTAATGGAAAATAGCTCCATTCACCAAAAAGGAAAAGTTTCATGACAATCTATTTAGTAGTTGTTGAGATGGACTGAAATGGTGGACTGACTGGAAGACTGACATTGCCATCCCCAGTGCTATTGTGGCCAGATTAAGGCCAAAGCATAATAATGCTGTACACAGTGTCCTGCAGGTGAAATCCCTTTAGTTTAGAGAGAAAAGATAAGTCATGTGTGAAAAAGTTATTTATTTCAAAAATTCCTTGTGCTCCCAAGGCACTTTATTAATTTCCGCTTTGCCAGTATTCCTCCAACACTCCAATATATTGCTGAATTTCATGACTAGAGGGAACTCTGTTCAGCCAAAACTCCCATCCAATGTCAGAAACATCGCAGTCAGATGAAACTATTTGTGAAACAGCTGATGTGAAAAATGCTGTCGATACGTGTGCAAACAGCAAAATCATGAAGGTGTTTTTCATAGGCTGATTTCAGAAAGAAGGATGAAAGAAAGTGAGGAGGCAGAGGCTGCAGAGGGAAGTGAAGAGTGTGACTGTGGCAGCGCTCCCCAGGGGGACTCTGGGATAGCTTGTCTGAAGCCATCCCATCAATGGGCGGGCTCATTAGGTTCATAACCTCTCAGATCAGTGGCGGGGCCTGCTGTCAGATTGAGTTGAGTGCCTGGCCAGTGATAAGGGCGAGTAATGAGGACAGAGCTAGTCTGAGGCCAGGCAGAACCCAGATGACGCCCAGACCAGGAGGTGTATAGTAGGGCAGTGCTTCTCACAGTGGAGTGAAGGAACTCCCATTCAGTACTAATTATTATCATTATAGTATGTATAAAAACGACTAGTTTAACCGCAGTTCTCACATTTTTTCTTTTCTGATAGCACATTGCCAGAAAGAGCACTAAGTATTGTAGAGTTTAGTACAAATTAACAACTACATTTTCCCATATTGGGAATTCCTGAGATGATGTCTTTTCAAATGCAGGTCTGTGTCCTAATGAGTCACTTTAGGGATTGATGCAGTGTAAATGTTTGAAAATCTGAGGTCTTCAGAGTCTAGTCCCTTTCTTGAGTATTAGGTTCTCACACTGTGGAATCCGTGTTCTATGGTATATACTACAGGTCTAGAGACTATTTCCCAAGATCCTTCAAATGTAAGGCAGTCATCTATTCTCTATATTGCACCAAATCCCTTACCCATCATCTTCCTGTCTTTACAATGGACCTGCTGAGCATCAGCAATACAAATGTCAGTAATGTTCAGTGATAGCAAACAGATGTTACTGACCTGGGATAGATTTGCTACTGATAGCCAAGAGATGTTCGAGGTGGTACCATCACAAAGAACAGAACTAGAGTCATTGATATTTATCATTAACCTGGTCCAAACACCAAAGGCTAATGTACTGCGGTCATTCAGCCCAGTATCCCTAAAGAATTATGTCAATATTGGACAATACCGCCCATCAAGATTTACACCCACTGCCATGGTTCGGTACTAATACAGGAAATATTGTGCCTTTTTTATGTGGCAAAGCCATAAAGCAAGGAGGTGGAGCTGTTGAGGTTAGGGTTGGATGTGTTGCATGTTGGACTTTAATGAAAAAGAGTGGATGTGGCGTCCTGTCAGACCTTTTATAGTCCATAACTATAATCTTTCCTTAACGTTAACCATACAGTAGTGGCCAGGCAAAGAAAGAACAAATTTCAAAGCGTTAATATTGGACGTAATCCAGCGTTTTTCAGAATCGTCCATTATTGGCGTTCTTGTCTAGCAATAAGGTTTGCTCATTACGTGCTATGGTAATAAAATAGTACTCATTGTCATTTAAGAACTCTTCCCAAGCACATGTCTAAATGTTTTTATATCAGGGAAGATGAAAGCAAATACCTTCTTTAGCTCTTTGCTGATCTGTGGAAGGCCTCCCCGATCACTGCATTCAGACAGTCACCCAAGAGTCTCCAGTATCATCCTCAAACAGCAGCAAGACAGCAGAGCAGACAAAGGTCAACAAAGAGCCTCTGGTGAACCAACCAATAGCTTATCTCTGTCTCCAGCCTGTCTCAGCAACAGGAGCATGTGAGCATGGGGCCATTTGGTGTTCAACCTGAGCCTAGCTCCCTGTGCCCTGTTCAACCTTTGCCTCTCTCTGGGAGCCCCCTGGAGGAGAAGGCTCCTCAGGAAAGTGTCTGACGAATGAGGAGGGGAGCCGAGGTGCACAGCTTGATGCTTATTTGCCCTGACAGAGCTGGACTAGTGATGACCCTTCCCTACTGTTGCTAACGCTTCGCTAGGCACAGCACTCGGCTGCGGTGAGCAGAATGATGCTAGTGAGCCAACCTGCAGCCACCCAAACAACCTAAACACGCTCAACACATGCTACCTGCTATACTAATACACAAAATATTTAAATTCCAGATCAAGTGATTGATATAAAAGATACAAAGAAACTGTTTTACTGAACTGATTCCAACAAAAGAGAGGCTTAATTCCAGTGAGGAATTTAGCAGGGAATGGATGGTAACAGGTATGCTTTACTCTGTGACAGGAACACACTTATTACAAATAGTGTAATCTTATGCTGTGATTTCAGCAAGTGCTTGAGGACTCCCTCGCAGCCCTCGTGAGTCTGCAATGATAAACGCTGTGTGAGGGAATGACACCCTGTTTACAGCGTTTTAGGCTAATGCCACATTCACGTCTTGTTGAGCACAAGATGTGTGTGATGTTTACACTGAATTTTTGATTTCTATTGCGGAGTAATAGTGATACTAACAGTTACATGTGTTGAGGGTAAAAAGCATTTATCAAAATGATGTCCATGTTTATTTTTTAATAATACATTTGATTATTGTCAGTCAGTCTGTGGGAGTTTGAGCTTAGGATGGACATTGGGACAGAGTGCCATTTTCATGAAAAAGTAAAACAATTTACAAAGATCCTACTACTATATACTGTATACTTACTTAGTGTACTATGAAATAAAAATTTTCCAGTTTCATATCAGGAAAAGAATGAGGGCAATTAATGAAATTCATGGTCTGCATTATAGTCATGTTTTTCAGATCCAGGGCAACCATGCTCACTGACTTGGCAGGCTTACGGGGATGGAATTGAGCTTTCATTCATGTTATTAATTCCATCACCTAAATACAACTAAATACTAATTAATTAATAATATTAAATCTGCTTGATGTTTGTGAGGTCTGTTAATGCTGCTGCAAAAACATTTGAATGGAGGGAAAACAGGTTGATTTGGCACGCCTTGTATCATTTCCTATTTGTACAAATGACAGCGCATTCATCTATTGTATACTAACTGAAAATGAAGAAAACCTACATACTGTGTAGTATAAGAAACTAGGACACAGTTGAGGTCAATTTGGAAAAGATGTTGTCACACTTGTGCTTCTTTTGGCCTTTAACAGACCCCCCACAGCACCGGAGACACAGCTGCAACTAATATAAGGAATGATGGTTATATTTAGGTGTGCAAGTCAGCAGGCATTGACAATAATGCTGTGTATTGTCACTGCTTGTTCATTAGCCAACTATAGGAAATGGGTAAGCTTAACTAACCCATTATGAATTTTACTAGCAGCAGCAGCTGCAGCTGTGTTTTCCACTGAGTGAAACTTCTGAGAAAATCCCAACAGAAACAGTTATTGTGCAGTTCATTTGATGTGACATCATTATCATGAGCTGCTTTTGAATTATGTCCCTGGTCATTAACTCATATTGCAGTCTCATGTTCATTTAATCAGCGGCTGTAAACTGATTCACTGTATAGTGATTCACTACCTAATGAAACAGGGCCAATTAGAGACACAGCCCATGTTGCTGAATGGAAACAGCACTGATTAGATACTCTGGAGAGAGCAAGAACAATATCATGTGGAGTGTTTACCTGCCAGAGCCGTTTACTGGATCTTCTCTTATCAGTAGATTGGGTAATTAGGGACTGTAAACTTCTGTGTAATTTAGTGTTTATTTACCCTTAGCAAATGAACATTGTCATTTTCTTTGCAAGCTAGTGGTGAAAAACAAATTATGGAAAAATGAATTACTAATTTATGTACTTTGCTCATAGGAGGTTCAAATGGAGGTTGGAAAGAAATTTCATTTGAACTTTCATGACAAGGTTCTCCTGTATGTGTTCTTTCTTTTCTCTTCTGTATTACTCACACTATTTCTTGTTATATTTATTTTAATGTCACTATGCACATGGCATTACCATAGTGATTACTTGTTAATTAGTCTGTGAGAGCCATGCAAGGTCATCACAATATTTGATTTTGTTGATTTTGATATGTAATTTATCCTCTATAATGAATTCAAATGATTTTAAAAAAAGGGAAACCAATTTAAACATTTGGTCGTATATGGTAATGAAAATAAAAGCAGATTTTTCTTTGTCATGGTCAAAGGGGATGAGCGAGGTTTAAAAAATGTTTGATTTAGATTTTCCTACTTTGTATAATAAAATTAAATCACTAGAAAACAAAAGGACAAAGTTATTTTTTTCAGATTCTGAGACCCGGTATAGTCATTCACAAGCAGGAGTGCCAAATGTAGGCCAGTGTTGCTTTAGACCAGGCTAAAATGTCTTTGGAACCTCACTGAAGTGAGCGACGAATTAGAAAGCCATTTCTATAAAGTAGAAAATGAATATTAAACCATTTTTTAAATTTTGATAATTCCCTTTTTGACAATGAAAAATAAAAAATTGTTTTTTCAATTTGGTTTAATTTTGGTATATTTTAAAATGACAAATAACCACTCATTTTTTGTTTTTAATAAAGGTTTCTGAAATGAGAACTGAATGACCAGAAGATCCACTGATCTGACAGTGGCTTCTGATAGATGTTGCTATAAAATGAAATGTGTTGCCTTCTCTTACCCTTCCTAGATTATCCTGAACTCTATGCACAAGTACCAGCCCAGACTACACATAGTCAAAGCAGATGAAAACAACGCCTTTGGATCCAAGAACACCGCCTACTGTACTCACGTCTTTCACGAGACAGCCTTCATCTCTGTAACCTCTTATCAAAACCATAAGGTACAGCGACTATCTGTAGTATACAGTATACTACATATATTAAAATAAAGTAAATGCAGAATTCCTAGTTTTACACATATAAAAGTATTTTGTAACTCTTGTTGGTGTCAGCTCTTAATTGTATAGGTCAAAGTGGTTTACACACTCACATCATGCTTTTTTCCTGTCCAAGGGTAAATCATGTATAACTAAGATTTTAGGTGTAGCTTGATGGAATTTAACTATCAAATGAGGGCAATTGACCAATGGTTCACTGTAAAACCAAATAAGTTAATTTAATTCAAAAACTTGTTGAAACTGATTATGTTGAAAATTTTAAGTAAAATTAACTAAATTTTGTAAGTTGAAAAAAACATTCTTGAGTGACACTGACTTAATTTTGTCATTTTTAATTTGTACTGTGAAAACAGAAGTAAAAAGTATGTAATCAGGAATGTTTCTGTAACTTACAAAACTAAATGTCACTTTAAATCACAAGTGAAAACTGCTTCATCAAGTATCTTTTTTAACTTACAAAATTGAGTTTGTGTTACTTAAAATGTTTAATGTAATCGGTTTCAATAATTATTTTGAGTTGAAATAACTTATTGCATTACAGTGCTGAAATTGACAGTGTTTCTTAAATTGCTTTACCTGTGCTTTGGTTTTTACCAAACAGAATGAGATCTTAAATAAAATATAATTCTCTTAGATCACTCAGTTGAAGATAGAAAACAATCCGTTTGCCAAAGGCTTCCGAGGTAGCGAAGAAGGAGATCTGCGTGTTTCAAGACTACAGGGGTATGTCTACACAAACAGGAACCAGGAAAGTAACACTGATCCTGTAGAAGCATTAAGCTCACCGGAAGTCAGCTCTTCATGAGTTTTTTTTTTTTGTGTATGGATATAAAAACCTTTTTCCTTCAAAGATGTGTCAAGTGGAATTGTAGGCATGGCAAACTGATTGCTTTCCTCCTCTGTTGCTGCAACTGATGTATAGGAAAGACTATCCGGTGATATCAAAGAACATGGTTCGCCAGAGGCTCATCTCCTCACACGGTCATCTAGCAGGGAAGCTTGGAGCAGGAGTTCTCACGGGGCACCCTCAAGTCCTGTCCTCTTATCAGTATGAGACTGGAGTCCCTCTGTCTAACTCCGACCCCCAAGATCCTATCTCGAACCACTTCCCTCAGAGCCGAGATCCCAGCCTTCTGTACCACTGCTTCAAACACAGAGGTATGTTCTTAGCCACTGTTCTGTCTGCCATTGTACAGAGTCAGATGTAGTTAAACAGTGGAGTTAACTGTATCCCTTTGCAGATAATGCCCGACACCTGGAGCTTGGATGTAAGCGGCCATATCTGGAGACATCATCTGCGGTCTCGGAGGAGCACTACTTTCGTTCAGCTCCCTCCTATGAGTCGCCCTTACTGTCTCATCCGTACTGCACTGAGGCCATCGGCTCTAGAGAAGCTTGTATGTATGGTAGTATGGAAACAGAGTCTGGATCCGGTGCAGGGGACACGGATGACCTAACCAACTCCTCTTCAATAAATTGCAACATGTGGGCTACAATGCAGCCCTACCCTCGCTATAGTGTGGAGGGAGTCCCGTACCAGCCCTTCGCAGCTCACTTCACCAACACTGCCACGGTCACTCCTGTGGTACCGCATCCTACATCATCCATGGCATCACGACCGCAGGCTGACTTGGGGGTCTACAACTCCGCTACGGTCCAGCGAGGTCTGCCCGTCATACCCCCTTCATCCTCCTCTTCATCCTGCTCTCCAGCTGTGTTGGGATCCAGGGATAGGTCAGGTCATCCGCCTCTGTACCACAAGAAGCCAGGGTCACCGCTCCGGCCTCACAGAGATTTCTCAGCCTATCCCACACAAGGCACAATATCCATCCGGGATCCATCCTATCAGTACCAAGTGGGGCTGAGTAGCGCAGGGACTCACTGGACTGACAGCTAATGTGGACGACTGAAGAAACCAGCTTTGTCCACTGTACAAGTCTGAAATTGATCAAGGTTCAAAACCCCACTGTGGGCTTCTGACACCAAGCAATGATAATGAACTACAGCCATGATCATTGCTAAATTGCACTCCAAAGCCATTTACTCCTGCCTGGCTGACCTCCTCTTTACTTATGCAGATGTGTAGCATATGTACTAGCCTGTGATCAGATAGGGTGGTGGTTTTCTGACACTGCAATGCAAATACAGGTTTGAGCAGCACTATCTATCTATGAGAGGGAGCTGCAGGTTCAAGAGCACAAGAAGTATCAACAACAAAAACAAGATGTAACTATCTAGCTGAAGCTGAAGTAACAAGGATCATTTTTCATCACACAAAAGCATACATAAGGGAAAATCAATGATTGCTGTGCTTGTTCTTGAAGAGAATAAGAATCAGAATTGTTTATTGCCACGTAGGTTTTTACACCTACGAGGAATGTGTCTTGGTGCATTGGTGCATAAAATATACAAATCACACAAAAATAAATTACTTTTAAAATATAAATAAATAGGCTAAAAAAGAAAGAAAACTGTGCAGAAACGGGAGTGCATTAATGTAATGCATATATACAGGGTGGGTACAAGGGTCAGTGTCAGTGGGGCCCGGGCCTTGTTAATGAGGCCAGCTGCAGACAGAAAGAAACAGTTTTTGTGGCGTGAGGTTTTGGTCCTGATGGGACTGCCAGCCTCTCCTGCCAGGGGGAGGGAAGTGCTCAAAGAGTTTGTGCGGGTGGGCGGGAGGGGTCAGCCACAACCTTTTCCTTCACGGGCCCTTCAGGGCCTTGGAGGGTGGCCAGGATTTCACCGATCACCTTCTCAGCAGATCGAATGATGACGCTGGCAGTCTGCCCCTTTGTCCTTGGCCAGTGGCCAGCAGCGCTACCAGATGTGATGGAAGAGGTGAGGATGGACTCCGAATGGCCGGGTGTGATGGCGGTGTAGAAGTTCACCATCATCTTTGGCAGGTTGAACTGGCCTATATATGTAAAATGAGTACATGATGGCCTCCCAGGGACTGAGGGTTTTATCATTTCTTGCAGAGCCTCACCCAGGTAGAGCGTGTCTAACGAATAAGGCTGCTGCTATTCTCATTTTTCTTATTGTCCACAAATCCAATGAAAAGACCAAAACTAATAACCCTCCTCCCCAGCATCCACCTGTATGCCCTGAGTCTATGTTCCCCTAGGGGCGGGGAGTTGTTATTGTCATTGTGGGGAGTGACAAGTTCAGAGCCTCAGTGCCAATGTGAATATTCTACATTGACATAATAATCCATTCCATGTGAGCTGACTGACTAAAATCCATTTTTGGTGAGTATTTCCAACAGCCGGACAGTGTACTTAGGATCCAGGGTAAGTGGGAGTGGCCTGTGCAACAGTATGGTTCACTGATGTGAAGGATCAGTACATTGATGGTTTAGGTCTTCTCATAGGATTTGTTGACAGTAAGAAAAATATACAATAGCGCCAGCCTTGAGACGTGTTCAACTGGGAGGGGACGGGGTTGATGTCCCAAAGTTATCACAGCCAGTGTGTGAGATTATTCACAAGTGCCAAATTGATATTTGAGACAATTTGATACATAGGGTAAAAGTGTATTGAGTCCACTGTGAGATTGATCATATCAGAATATAACAGAGAAACTGAAGTCAGTTGTTCATACACTAAGAAGCGTATGTGAAAACACTTAAACTAGCTTGCTGTGTGTAAAAGTCTTTTCCCATGATGTACATACAGAGCAATTAAATCAAGGTGCACCAAAAAAAAATTGTGCGAGCTGTTAGTGTATGGGTCTTATCCAAGGGTTATGCTAGTTGCGTGACACTAGCACTCGTCTGAAGAAATCATGTTGTGAGTGTAAGCCATCCTACTGTGGTTGGTCGTCAAAGCTTGGCTCCAAACTCGTGGCTCCAAACAATATTCTAGTGAAATGGGACAGCAAAGAACTCTCAGGCAGAACCAGATGGGAGCTTAAAGAACTGTTGTTAAGCCATGGTGAGTACCGGAAAGGAGAGCTGCACACAAATCCCACTCCCAAATGACTTACTTGGAAAAAATTCTCGCAAGACTGCAAATACAAAACAGCCTGAGCAGGCAGGGAAGCTGAAAGAAAAGGCTCTCGGTAGCAGTACACACAGTAGAGTTTGAACTCCTGCATTTGTGCATTGTCCCTTTTATTTCTTGTTGTTAAATTCAATATTACATTTTTGAATATATTGACTTTTTTGCACACCTGATAAATAAACATTTTCATGCCTCTAATTGTTTGCTATATTTAATCCAACACTGTATTCCAAAACTACATTACCCTCACTTTAAAGGTCCAGTGTGAAGCATTTAGGAGGATCTATTGTCAGAAATGGATGGACAATATGTATGGTATGTTTTCATTACTATATAATAATTATATATATTTTATAAAATAATCATTTTTGTGTTTTTGTTACCTTAGAATGAGCTGTTTTTATCTACAGAGGGAGAAAATCCTCTTCTACAAAGTCTGCCATGTTGAACCACCA